AAGCAGGAGAAGGTGGCGGAGGAGGAGGAGGAGGAGGAAACGAAGAACAAGATGAAGAAGAAGGAGAAGACAGGAGAAGAAGAAGCAGGAGGAGGGAGAAGAGGACTAGGAAGGAAGGGAGGAGGAGGAGGAGACGAAGAACGAGATGAAGAAGAAGAAGACAGGAGAAGAAGAAGCAGGAAGAGGAAGAAGCAGGAAGAGGAAGAAGAGGACAAGGAAGAAGAAGAAGAAGAAGAAGAAGAAGAAGAAGAAGAAGAAGAAGAAGAAGAAGAAGAAGGAGGAGGCTCACCTCACTCCAACAGCAATCGTACAAGCCATCTGCAGTATCAAATGCCAGAAGCTCTCTTATCCCTTCAGGTGATAACTGTATTGGCCAGTCGGCAGTTGGTAGATTAAATCAACATGATCAACAGACAGGGGGGGGGAGAGGGAGGAAGGCAGCGATAGGGAGAAAGAGAGGGGAGAGGGAGAGACAGGTGGGAGAGGAGGAAGAAAGGAAGGACAGAGGAGCCAGGGAGGGAGGGAGATTTAGTAGGACACAAGATACAAAGAAAGCAAAGATGAATTACATATAAGTCCTTCCCCCACAAGGTCTGGATAGCAACTTGCAGGACGGTATGTTGGGCTCAATCACAACAGAGGCATCCATCCGTGAGCACTCGTTTGCAAGGGACTCTTTCATGGCTATAATATGCCAAGTACAAGATCATTCTTGCTTAAAAAGACACAACATGAGCCCAATATACCTTTTTTACCGTTATGGACCTTATGGTCATGTTAATTAGGAACCGAACTTGTAGACTTCTCGATGTGCGTACAGATCAGAACCAGGTCCATTGCCACTCATCCAAGGAAATACAACACGGCAAGAGACCCAGCCAAGACAACTTACGACCAATCAATCCATGACTGAACCAGGTCTACATGTGGACCAGATTCCTACTGAAGAGCACGGCGGCACACAGTGCAAGGTCGTCACTCGAATCCATTGAGGAGAAAAATCTAGATTGCAAACGCATTACAGCATT